TAGCCCACACGCGGAGCCGCATCCCCGGGGCACTCCTGCGGTGTAGGTGCCAAAGATTCGCTTCTAACAGAGTCATGAGCAGGTTCCCACCTCCCCCTGCCACCACGAAGCGTCCTGCTGAGCGTGGAGAACGAGGAGGAGAGAGAAGAAAGCCCCCCCGAAGGTGGCCAAAACCAAAAAGCAAACAGAATCCAAACGGCTCGTGTTTTAGTGGTTGACTTTAATTCTGCACTGCACTTTTACTACAAGGATATAAAGAATAAATAGCAGATACTCTTCATTTACATAGGATTAAGTCATTCAAACTGTTTTCTCTCTTTACAATAACATTGTGCTCTAGGCGTTTATTCATTTTTATTTTAAATCTAAAGTCCATAAGGAAAAAGAAAAAAAAAAAACCCACACACACGCTTTCCGAATAATGGAAAATAGCTTTAAAACGTTTTCTTATCAAAAAGTTTGGTTTGTATTTTTTAATCCTTTTATTAAAAAAAAATCCCACAAAAACAACAACAAAAATCTACTTCGCCAAAGCGAAGCAACTTCTCTCTGGAATATAAATACAAAAAAAAAAAAAGATACATTAGGAACGATCAGGGTAATAGTCTTAAAAATACAGTAGACGCTGATTATTTCACGTATAATACTGACCTTTTAATAGGATATTAAACCGGTGCCATATATACACACAATATACATTCTCCTACACGTTACAGTGCATTACAACGTTAACCAGAAAGCAAATGTCTTTTATTTTTGTTGCAGCAAAGGTCCACGTGAGTCCGCTGGAGAAGGGGCGAGAGAAGGTGAGTGCAAGCCCTAGCAGGAGCACTTGCACTCCGAAATGATGGGGTACTGGATGGGTATCCATGTGCACCTCTGCCCCCCCCGACGCTGGCACCTCCACCTCAGGATCGTCAAATGCACGGACTTGGCAGGTTTGCAAACCATGCCTTCTGGGACTGAACAAGACCTTTTACTGTAGCAGCTGCCCACTTTGACATACCGGGGCCAAAAGCGGCTGCCGAGATCGTTCCACGTGTATAGGACCGGGCAGAAGGTCTGGGACCAGAGCCACATCTGCAGCTTCCTGCGCAGCTTCTTGCTCAGCCTGTGCTTCTTGCCCGGCTGCAGCCCGTCGTAAAACTCCAGCCCTTTGATTTCGCTGGGCATCGCTCCCGAGGGTCTCTGTCTGAGCAGCAAGTCCAGCTCAGCTAGATCGTCTACTCCGAGCCGGTCCTCGGGCAAGGAAATAGCCATAAAGTTAGGGTCGAAGTGTCCGCCCATGAGGTTCCTTAGCAAGGTCTCGTTAAGATCCTTCTCCTTGGGGTCAAAGATAGGG